CAGATGATTATTTCCCTTTTTGAGGTAAGTGGGGCACGTTTTTTCAACTGCGTCAGTCGTTTTGGCTGACTTTTGGGCTAACCTGTCAGCTCTATGCTTAATTTTGTGCTTTTCGTGGGTGCCTGTCAACCTAGCGCTCCAGATCCCTTTTAAGCTTAGGTTCTCATCACGATTGATGTCGTGTCCTAGCTTGGTATTTGGTTCATCTGGAGTTAGCTTTATTTTGTTAGTGATTGTGGTTCTTAGTTTTTATGGTACGAGTGGGCTTGTGATGTATTATTGCTTTGTAAGTGACGTGTTGCTTTGTAAGTGCTGTTAGGTTATTTGTTTGCCAGATTAAAAAAAAAAATTATATATGTTTGGACTTTCCCTAAAAGTTTTGAAATGGAAGAAAAGAAGTTGTCACAGGAAGGAAAAAACGTCAAAGTAATCAAAGGGTATAAATTTAGAACTTATATTTTGGCCTTAATATTTTATGACAAACCAGTATCAGTTGGTTTCTGTGTGACACACTCTTTAAAGGTGGGTCTGGAGTTAGCTGCCGGAGATGCAATTTGGCTCTTTCACTGTCTAGTTAAATTGATCCCTCAGCTTCTTAAACCAAACAGTGAGTGTTTTGATATTGATGGTAAAGGTTTCAACATATAAATTTTCATATATATATATATATATATATATATATATATATATATATATATATATATATATATATATATATATATACCTGGTATATGAGTCTTGTATTACAAATGTGTGTGGCAAGATTTCAACCGGAGAATTTATATATTTTTAGACATATATACTATATTCTAAAAAAATTCTAACATTTAATTTTGGAGTAAATAAGGACTTGAATGTTGAAAAGACTAAAGTATCCCTCTATAATCAAATAAAAAATAGATAAAAAACTAATTAAATGTATAATGACTAAAGTGTCCCCCCCCCCCCTTTTTTTTTTGGTTTCTTCATCATCATCACTGCAAACAACAAACATGCTGTCGGTGATAAAGCCAGTCACTGCCGGCTTCCTCTCATTCCGACAAGTTTGCTTGACTTTGCAGCGGCCTGGTCGCTGCATGTAAGTTACCTAGTTGCTTGTTCCTCATCGGCACTAACCTAAGGCCGTTGCCCTTCTTTTGCCAATCACCATGGACAGCGACCCAAGTCGCCGTAAATGACCCAACTCCTCCACATCGCGACCCAAGGTCGTTGTTCCTTTCACGACGATGCACCAGGTTGCCAGACTGCAGCGTGTCGGAATAACAGGTTTTTCTTGGTTCATTTATTGGAGAAGATTTCATAAATATGGAGCTCGCGGTTCGGTCTCCGAAGAAGAATGCCGTTTTGTCTACTAGAACTCGTCGATGGAAACAATGGAGGTTTATGAACCTGGAACACGCTAGATTGAGGTCTTTTCTTAGTACTGTAGCTTTCCTGGGTATTGTAGCTTTTTTGGGTCAGTTCAATGACATTAAGCCCTTCTTTGCTCAGTTTTTTAAATTTAACGGAGTTATATACACAACATGAACAATATGTGTGTTATTTGCCCAAAATGTAAATATTAAGGGTGTTCTTCTCACTTTGCCTATATATATATATATAGGCAAGAGAGAGGAAGGGTATTTTTGTCCATTTGAACAATTTTTTTTTTTGTAATTTGATGACATTGTAAGGGAAATTGGGTCTTTTTTACTTAGTCAATGGGCATTTTGGTCACCCTAACCAATTTTTTTTTTTTTTTGGACAAAAAGTAATGATTTTTATACGGAAGGGAGGTGTTTACAAAAAAGGGTCAAACCTCATGAAAAACGCTGCCAAAAAATGCATATGTTTACCCAAGAATGAAACTAAAATGTTCCTACTTCATATTATGAGAATATATATATATATATATATATATATATATATATATATATATATATATTACGTTGCGATGGTTTAATGGACACATGAATTGGTGTGGTGATGCATATGTATACAAGTGTTGACATTAAAAGGACTTGTTGGTCCCGTGAAGGTACATTTAGATTAAATTACATACATAATACTGTAATACAGTCTACAATAAAATATGAAAAATTACACAGACCTCCCCGGCTCCCCTAAGGTTTATTAAAAATATACGGACCTCTTCTATCATTTTAAAATGACCTCCTATAAAAACAAAACCTTGTTGCATGGACCTGTAAACATTAGTCAACAATAGAAGTTACTTATGTCATGTACTTAATATTACTAAAATGCTAACATTACCTTTGTCTTCTTGCTTGTAAAACAAGTGGAAATGTTAAGGCTTGGAAGTTCCATTTTTATGGAAGCAATCCTTCCCCAAAAGTAAGCCTTCATTGCAAGAAAATATTGCTGATTTAGGTATTTCAAGAGGCCACATTGAGGAAGATGACACATTAATGGATCTAGTCACCTTACTGTCACAGGCTTAGAGTTTCGGCACCACTCTAGCTACTTCCATGCGGCACCAAGACGTTACTTCTACTCTTGCAACTACTTGGCCAGCCTAACTCCCGTGCACACCTTAGCCAACACACTCCCCTCGTGCGCTTACTAGTGCAGTGGTGGCCCTCGCCCTCTCCTCACTTAGCTTGCACACTCACACACACTAAGGCACTTAAGTTAGCAAGGAAAGAACACTTCTATTACTTCAAAGAATGCTTTGTACAAGGCTAGCACTCAAACTCTCTACAAGGCTCACAAGACTCACTCCAGGACTTGATAGCTACAAAATGAAGTCTTACTCCTATTTATAGGCATCCCCATCCCTAATGGATGGCTAGGATGCATTCTACCAACGGTGGAGATCGATTCTTTAAAATCTTCTCCCACCTTCTTCACATTTTCATATTTATCTACAAATATCTACAACATTCTAGAACTCTCCATACTACTCCACACAATTCTGGAGAACTCTAGAATATACTACACATAACTAGAATCTTCCACATAACACTAGACAACTCCGGAAGACTCTAAAAACTCCACTTGCCATGCAGTTGCCATGTAGCGTGCGCCTACGTGTCGCCTGCGTAGCGTAACCTCCATAAGCGGGACGTGACATTACGGCCAAACATGAAGTATCGAGATATTGAAGTTTGCTTCTCATATTCGTACCCTCCTGTATGAGAGTTCAAGAGTGCCGAAAGAGGACTCCAATGATATATGATGACGGACCGTGGATCCTCCATTCCTAGCTTCTTATATGCGGTTTCAGGATTGCTGGTAGAGAAATGGAGTGATGATGATCACATGACCATTATGATTTCTTGCCCTTCTCATCTTCTAAAGGTCAAACCCTTGATTAATGGTCGGTAAAAAATCTAGAGTTCGTTTGAGAAAATCAATGTGTTTCTTTGATTTAGATGACAAAAAATATTTTGTTGGTTTGTATGTGTGTCTATATATATATATATTTTGAATCTTTAAACCGGTTTGAGCACATATATTTAATAACAAAATATTAAATAATAAATGTAACTGGTCAATTTTCTGTGAACAAACAAATCAAACCAAACCAAATAAAAATAAAAATACCACATCGATTCCATCTTGAAAAGGATGTTGCAAAGCCCATAATCTAAGATTATCCAAAATACAAGGCATATTGAACTTTTACAAGATTTCACCCAAATTAATTAAATTAACCACCACCATGAACCAAAATCCATAAATCACTTATGATGGTATATTTGCTTTTGTAATGATAAGAAAAATTACTTATGATGACTCAGATAAATAATTCTCCACTTATCTTTATCCAGTTCAATGTGACAAATACACTAACACATAAGACACTCAAATGATCAATATAAGAGCTTGTATGGGATTGCATTTGTAGCCTTCAAAAGGGCGTTGAATTAAAAAAATAGCATTTAGTACCAGTGTTTGGCGAAGAAAAAAAACGTGTTTAATATATAGAAGTTTAATTTAAAAAACGCGTTCTGATGAAGCTACAAATTAGAGCTTCTGAAATTTCATTCTCTGTAATGGTTAGAAACTAATTTTTTTGGACAATCTAACCCGTCTTTAATTATTATAATTACAAGTTTGTTTAGATAAAAAATGTTTAGCTGGACCTCTATCACCATTAAACGTATAGATGCATCATATGAGTCATGGTTTTGATTTGCATATAGGTATATATGCGTCTAACAATTAAATATCATTATTTCGTTAAATTTTATTATAAAATATCATATGTTTAAATGAGGGTAGTTTATTACTTTTTTTTTTTTTTTTTTTTTTTTTTTGGTATCAAATAAAAATTAATATTCGTGTTGTGTATAAATAAATAGTAAAATTAGTAATAAACGTGCTGTAAGCAATATAGTTACCAAACAATTTTAAAATTACTCCAAATATAAAAAATGTTTTATATAATGCATCACTAAATGCCTAACGTATTTTTTATTAACAATACTTTTATGACAGTTCTAATGATAAAAGCAGATTTACCATTACAACAATAACACCGCTTTTACCACTACAACAATATAACACCAAACGGGCTCTAAGTGTATTCATCCATGTAATAGATTGCCCAAATTTATTGATGAATGTGAACAAAATTGTAACTATGACTATTGATGATTTATATCTTCTCTCAAGGAATGACTTGTCCCTGTTAACTTTAATCATTCTTTTATAAATAATGGACACTTGATTCAAATCTTGAATTAACCAATACAAGCACAGTATATGTAAGCAGATAAATAAAAAACTCAGATTTTATTAAAACTAGAGAAGTCAATTACAATTCATGAATGACTTTGTAGAACATACAATCCCGACATTCATATGTACGAGAAAATAACAAGAACAGCAGCAATAAAAACACAAAAGGGATCTACTGTTACAACTTTGAAAGCCAGCTTATTTATGCCCATACAAGGGTTATGGCTTGCAAATTCAATAATTCACTACAAAACCTCAAATTGAATCTTTTAGGAGGTCTGTTATACTTGTGGAAATGGAATGGAAGAAGCAATTCATTTGTCGGCTTGTAGGTCAATCATGACTTGCATTGGGGTTTTTCCTCTTGTGGTGCCATTTTGATGTAGTTCCATGTACCCTTTGTAGGTGATGTGTTTGTGGTATTTGATCTCACTCCTCTCATCCACCAGTGGACTTGCAGGTGCAACTGTGGAGGACAGCGCAGGCCCATTGCCCACGGCTATTGATATCCTCGTTCTTTGTTTATTTGTCACACCTCGATGCTTCAATGTTTTGTACCTTCCATTGCTCAAAATCTAAGATCACAGATATGTTGGTTACGATGGAAGGGGTTAGTACTGACATATATTGGACATTTTGGTTAATATCTTATATATTAAAGTAAAATTATTACATAACAAATATTGGCCTAACCTCCATGTAATCTCCTATGTTGACAACAAAAGACCCTGGCAGGATTCCAACAGATACCCACTCTCCATCATGTTCAACTTGTAAGCCATCAACGTCATTTTGCATCAAAACTGTAAGTCCACCATGATCAGAATGGTCTGGTATCCCAAGTGTTCGGTGTGGCTCTGGACATGGAGCATAATAATTAGAACCAACCACTTGAAAACCTCCTCCAAGTGACTTCTCTATGTAATCACTGTCAAGTCCTAAAGCTTCTGATAATGCACTTGCTATCTTCAGTTGCATCTGCCAAACCTCCTCTATGAATTCCTTGGCTATGTTCCTTCAATTGACAGATTTGGATTAATTTTGGCAATTAATTAAAATCACGAAATTGAAGAATGAAAATTGAGAAAAATGGTTCATTTAAAGATCAATAAATATATACATATATACCTGTAGTTAGAGGGACTGCTAGGCCAAAGATTAGAGCTACTATGATGAGGACGGCCATGACCATGATGCCTCATATAGTCCCTCCATATAGAATACTTGGAGGATGTATGCAGGCTTGTTCCATACCCAGCAGAAGGTAGATTCATTGGATATTCATGTGTATTATATTTCATCTTCTCTTCCCAAGAGAGGTTGAAAAATCCTACTACGGCCTCCAGCATTTCCTCCATTAGAGAGATCTTTATCCCGTGATTAACAACCTGCAATGTTAATTTTTAGTATTTTGGTATATACTTATCAAAGCAAGATATATTAACTTACAAAAGAAACAATATATATATATATATATATATATATATATATATATATATATATATATATATATTAATGTCTAAAACATGCATGTAAACTAATAAACTATATATTACCCCGAAGATTCCCCACTCGGCACAGGCAGAATCGATGGCCTGAATAGTCCTCATTCTAGACTCAGCGGATCCATTGAGACCACTTAAATCGACGACAGGAATTGAAGCATGGCTGACTAATAATGGATTAGTGGTTAATGGCAAAACATATTCTGAAGGTAGGTTGGGTAAGTTAGGCCACATATCAGTAATGTACTTGACGCCCTTTTGGTAATCGCCACTAGTTGGCAGCTCACCGGAAAGAGTCTCGGTTGTGGCCGGAAGTTGACAAGTCATTGAGGTAGTAAGAGCCATGAGATTGAGATTGAGATTGAGATTGAGATTGATTGAATGTAGGTCGTGTAATTAAGACAAATTTGAGTTCATATATATAGCCATTTTTGGTGCATGCCAACAATTGTTTTGTTTATATAATATGCATTTTGAAACAAACAATTGTATGCATACCGCCACATGCTTAATTATCTCTAAAGATTCTCTCCTCTCTCTCCAAACACCCGCCCACCACTTTCAAGAGACATTTAAAAATCCTTCTATTCCAGCACGTGATTAACACAAGTAATAACAAATATATATATATATATATATATATATAATTTCTTAACGCATGTAACCAACATTGATAAAAACAACATCGCTAGAATACATGGTACCGATGGGTAATCACTCATGCCATTGAAGAGTAAGCTCAGATGGTTGGAAGGAGAGCTTGGGTGTTCCAATATTGTGAATAAAATATTGTGCTGATTGATTACCGGCCGTTATTTATAATATACACTTCTGTGAGCAGAACACTCTGCATATGTAGTGTGATTGGAGGGAATTTGTTAACTAACACATGTTTGTGCAACAATTAAGCTGGTACTTGCTAAAAAAACCAAAACAATTAGGCTAGCATATTTTGACTACTTACGAGATATCGAATTATTAATGACAAAATCCTCCAAAGCTGACATATTTTGACTTTGGCTCCTTTTACCCATGAACTCTTATATACCAAAGGCATTTCACAAGCTTTTAGTCCATGGCTGTCTCAGAAACATGAGAGATCGAATTGTCAATGATGAAATCCTGCAAAGCTTTGTGCAGCTTTGAGGGATGTTGTTGGTTCGAATTCATTGGCTTTGAGGTTCCTTGGCGTGGCATGTATGGGACGAGCTAAGCGTAGCGTTCAGTCTCCTATAGCTGTCAAATCTCTGAAATCTGATTCCAAGGAGTAGTTGAACTGCTTTTCCTCATCAAATCAAACATCAAAAGTGCATTCGTCTATAGATGCGAAATGAGTGAAATCTCTGAAATCCGATTCATTGGTTTGTGGCGATGTCAAATGAAATCCATTAAAGAAATACATTCTGCCTGACCTGAATCAGACCTTTAGTAAGCTAAAACTCCCATTGAAGTAAGGGGAAGATCCATCAATATGGATGAGAAGGGGTGACCTTCTAGATGAATTGCCCATTGCTGAATTGTGTTTGCCTTGATTCTCTCTCTCCAAGCACACGCCCGCCACTTTCACCCTACCCGAGACCCACCAACCACTTACGTGTTTAACCACATGGGTATTTATTTTATAAGGGTTTATTTAGTTAAACGAAAATCAATAGGGTCTTTTAGTCCATGGCTGTCTTAGAAAGCGTAACATGAGAGATTGAATTTTTATTTATTTATTTTTTTTTTTAACAATGAAATCTCGCAAAGCTTTGGAACAATGTGATTAGTTTTTATAGTGCTGGAGGTTTTCTAAAACACGTTGGGAACTTATGATCAAAATTTGAAAGTTGTGATTTATTATTATTATTATTATTTTTTAAAAAATTAGCCCTAGTATTTATTAGGATGCACACTACTTGTCAATTAGAAGGAATGATAAAAAATTTAGTTAGTTTTGAATAATATGTTTTCTATTGATTGATTTGGCAATTGTTTTGATAACTCGGTGATTAGTGCCTTCCGTGTATCTTGGAGTGACCGATTTCGACCCTCCACATCTACTAATGTATCATCTAATACTTCTTGTCTTCCCAAAAAAAAAAAAAAAAAAAAGTTAATTGATTTGATATATTTATGTATCAAGGATGACAATCAAATTTCCTAAAGTTGAGGATGAAATCAAGTTAGGGAAAATGGAAAGTCAAATAACAGATTATACAACTATACATCATGCAACAATATGAGAACCTTCTCCAAGTTACTTCTCTATGTAATCACTGTCAAATCCTAAGACTTGTGATATGGCACTTGCTATCTTTGAACCTTTGAAAGATTTGCATTGATTTAGCAAAATGAATCTGAATTAAACTTAATAAAAATGGTTTACGAAAAATTATTTATTAGTGACCAAAACTAAACATAATTACGGTAAAAGTGATCTTAAAGTTCATAAAATTAAAATGAATAGTGACCAAATTTAAAACTTAAATGCTATTAAGTGACCATTTCATGATTTATTACTTAAATATTCGTCCAATAATAAATCATTTTATAATTGGACAAATTTATCATATAGTTCTTTTAATTCACTTGTGGGTTCCTTTTTTCGGTGTGCTCCAAAACTTTGTTGATTACGGTGTCAAAGTGATTAGACTCACACCTGAATTCTTTGGAGGTTTGTGTTCATGAGCCAATCAAATTGGACTAATAACTTGGCTATCAACTATATAAACACAATTATATAAACACAATTATATATATATGTATATATATATTTAGTGATCATATATAACATTCCTATTTCTTAAAGTAGGTAATTCAATAGTTCACCACATGTGGAGGGTCGATTGATTTTTTTAGCGTTCAGGTCTAAGACGATGGTGTCGGTTCTTGTGGTTATCGAGAGAGATTCTATCATTCAGGTCCAAAAAGTGAAAAAAGCTCCATAAGAACCAATTAAATTTATTGAGGATCGACATGTAGATATTCATAAGGGATAAGATCATTTACTTATCCCGAGTAAGTTCTTGTATATACATTGATAGGGAAAAAATAACCCTAAGTTGACCAGCCGCCTACCATTTGGTTCTCTACAACTACCTGGGATAAGATAAAGGCGAGGTGGTTCAGTTTATGGTGATAGAGGAGATCAGTTGAAGATGATAAATCAAATCTCAACTACCGACATTTGCAACGACTAGATTTCGAAAACAACTATAAATAAGGCATAGAGCCACTAAAAAAGGTATGAGAAAAAACTCCTGAGCATTAAATACATAATCAATTGTTCTGTTATACGATTCCAAGCACTAACTTTGTAACAACCCAAATCACTGGATCCGGATCATTAAACGGGTCCTTGCCTGACCCAAAATCATCCAAGGGTAATACGGTCCTTTCACGCTCAGTTTGTATATTAAAGTCCAAAAAGGACAGGATGGTAATTTGCCACAATTCAAATGGTTTGAGACTACTCACAACGTTAATTAGGTGCTAAAGAGTAATTAGGGAAACTAAATGAAAAATATATATGGAATAGGAACCGGTCAACGTATATCCATTGTACGTCAGCTGGTTTGGGTTATGAACAGTGGAAAACCCACTGTCGAGATACCAGTCGACGTATGGGATTTTACGTCGACTGGTTTGGGACGTGCAACATGAAAAGCCCACTGTCAGGATACCGGTCGACGTGTGAGGAAGTTCACGTCGACTGGTTCAGTCATCCGGTCGACGTATGGGATTTCATATCGACCAGTTGGGTTATCCTCACCTAAAATACCACAAGGAATCCGAGATACACCAACTTTGAAAGCCAACCACCCATACCACTACACTCACGTACATATTAAAATACATTCCAATACCTAATACAATAACAACAACCACATTAATAATGTAATTTACAACATGTTACAAAAAAAATACACTAAAGGATTTAGTGTGATTAAAACTTAATTACATTTCCCCAATGGCCATACACAAAATGGACCTAAATACATCACATGCTACAAAATAATACATTTTAAGTTATCACTTTTACAAAATTAGGCCCAATTACAAAAGATAGCAAAAAAAAACATTTTTCTACTCTAAGCTAAAGCAAGGGTGGATTGTCGTCCGCTATTCTTTTCCGTGTCCTAAAAAAATAGTAACAAGTAGAGGAGTGAGCGCAAGGCTCAGTAGAGAATGCCTAAGTGGCATCTTTTTAAGCAAGGTAAGTAATTATATGCCTTACAAACAATGAATAGGAAAACGAGTCGGGGATCATACAAGGGTTCACATGCAACACTTCCAATTTCCATAACCATCGTTTATATTCATATGTAATGAATTGTATAAAATGCTCAATGCACCCATCCACCACATCCACGCCCTCACATGCCCTTCCACTACATCCACACCACCCTCATACCCAAGAACAACATTATACCATGCATATAGAAATGCCCAAATTCAATTACATTATTATTATCATGCCTTCATAATACGATTGATATTTCTAGGGCCTCAACAAGATAATTTGACACTTTTTGCATATTACAACATTCAAGTATTCTCTAGCATATACATTATCAAAAACATCGCAATAACCACATGAGGTGAAATAAATAAATCATTTTATAGAAGCTCAACAACATGTCACTTGCAATTTAAACACAAGATAAACACACAATCACTTAAAACACCTCAAATCACAAATTCACGTACAAACCAAAAACCCTAAAATTAAATCATGCATTTTAACTTCAAATTGACAAGTTAGAGAGGGGGAAAAACATCTAATTAGCTACTACAACTAAGGAATTTGACAATTAGACAAACTTTACATCAAATGGAAGAAAAGTCCCAAATTTTGAAATTCTCCAAACCCTAGCAATATTAGCCTCAATTTGAAGCTCATGCCAAGTTCTCCAACCTCCCTTCTTCCTCTCCTTCAAAATCCACCTTAAACTCTCCAAATCAAAGCCTTTTATTTAGATGATAATAATGTGTGCTTGTGTATGAATATAGAGTGAGATAGAGAAGTGCTAGGGAGAGAGAGAGAGTGATGCACGAAAATGGGGGAGGAGGAAAGTGATGGCTTGATAAAAATCTCAAATTATGGTCATTGGATTGCCATGTGTCAACTTGTGGTTGATCTCTAATTTTGTGTAAAGTTACAATCTTGCCCTCCTTCAAACAATACATTGCCTCATTTTTCCCATAAATATCAACCTCTAATATATAGATATAGATGTATACATATATGTGAGAAAAGTCCATTATGCCCCTTTTTTAAAATGACAAAATCGGGAGAAATTCCCGAGTCCGGAAATCATCCTGACACCTGAAAAATTCTAAAA